TGTCATCTCCCTCTTCTGCTCGGAAGTTCTATTCCTGGAGGGCCCTTCTTAAATCCTCCAGAAATAACCCAAACCAGAGACCAGCACAGCCTTGCCTGTATTTTCTAGAAGGTCTTGAGTGCTCTGTCATGCACACTGGAGGGTGTTTCCTGAAGGAGGGCACTAGGTCTGATCCCCACCCAGGACATTAAGCACCTCTTTGTGCAAAGTATCAGTAATAATGTTTATGCCTCGCACACCTGAGACGAATTCACACCCTTCCTAATATGCCCTCTGCACCAGAACTCTGACCTGGGCCGCGCAGTGACCTTGCCGACTGAGGTTCTGGGTAGCTTCTCATTCACCTCTTCTTACCTCCTGTCTGAAGCTGAGCTGCGGGAGGGCGGTGCATTGGGAAGTGAGTCTGGCCCAGGGTAGTGCGTCCTCCCCGCCTCCAGCCTAGGCCTGCATGCAGTCCAGGCAGCTGCGCCCCCTGGGCCTGGGGGGGTGAGGGCGCCTTCAGAAGTAATGCTGACTTTCCATCTTTTTCTCCTTCTGTTCCTTTTGACATCTCTCTTTGGGCTCAAGCTCAGAGTGGCTTACTGATTTTGGTAACAGAATTTATCATAACAAAATCAGCAAGTTAAGTATTGGATGTAATTTCAGTTATCGGACTTTTAGCCACCGCACGTGCTATGCGTTTCCTCGATGGCCTGAATTATTTCTGCCATCTTGAGAAGCGGGAGTGGGAAGAGATCTGGTTTGGGTTCCAGAAGCTGTGTCTCTGGAGTTCCCCTTCCCAAGTGCCGGCTTCAGGGTCTCCGGCAACCTTTTACTACTTCCTGCATTCGTGCAAGTGGGTAACCAGGAAATGTAGAAACAGAGGTTGGAGACTAATAGAACTGTCTCTTAACCAAACCTCTCCACATTTCAAGTCCAGAAATGGTTAGCATTTAGATTTAGTTTGGTTACAGAAACAGATGCATCCGTGTGCCACTTCGGCCCAGGCCACAGTTGACGGCAGTCTCGTGTGGCAGAAGGAGCAGTGGGGACCCGAAGCCCCCTTTCTCGTCTTTCTCTTATTCATTAGGGCCCTGTTGGTTGCAAACACGAGACTCAGGCCTCTACAAGGAAAAGAGACGTCACCACATAGGGGTAGAAGGAAAGCGAGAGGCAGCTGGGTCCGTCTGCTCCCCCCGTCTCCGCTGGAGCTCCCCTCCTCTGGGCACCTCTCTGCTCCACTGTCTTCTCTATCCTCCACACTCCCCTGGACCCATCCCCCGGGAGCACCTCTGTCGGCTTAGCACTGTTGCCCCTTGCCTCAGACCGGCTCAGGAGCTGCTGACCCTTGGGCCAGTGTCCTCTTGAAGTCAGGAGTGGCCACCTCAGCTCAAAAAAGTTGAGCAGGCCCTGAGGGCAGGACAGCTTCTGCTGGAAGCAGCGTGGGACTTGGCAGCCAGAGAGGCTGGCTTGGCCCGGGCACCGAGTCTACTTGTGGTGGTATGAGCGCTCTGTCAGCCCTACAGGTGGTTCCGGACACCAGCCGGTGCCCCAGTCTCCTACGGGAACAGCATGGCAGAGTGTAGACAGCGCTGCGATAGAGGTGTGTGTCTGGAGCCACAGAAAGGCATCTCAGCAGTGGGGGCGAGAGGTCAGGCAGGGCTGGGATGGGCAGAGGCAGGAAGGGCAGGCCTTGCCCTCTGGGGGCCGGGCTCTCCCCGCCTGGGCGGCTCCGGGGGCTGCGCCTGCATTCGCATCCCTGGGGTTTGAGTTTAGACTGAAAATCACCGCTGCTCGGTGCTCGACCTGAGCTTTGTCCGGTGTCTTTCTGCGCCACATGGAGGGCCTGTGCGCAGGTTGTGTGTAGTGCGGGGCGCTGCTCCGAGGACGGCTCTTCGGCTGTTGTCCCCATTCAGTGTTTGTACTGAAACCAGGGCACGCGGGGGGTGTGTGTGGAGCTGTGAAGTTGCCAAAGCGCCACCTCCTGCCTGGGAGGCTCCCGGGCGTCAGTCTGACCACGGCCTCCTCCTCTGTCTCCTCCACCTGGCACCCCTCTCGCTTCCCAGAAGTTTCACTGGGGAGCCAGGGCACAGCGCCCGTCCAGCCTCACACCACATCCCATCATCGCTGGTCCGCCCGTGCCGCCCTTCTGTGCCCACGCACCCCTCACCCCGCAGCCGGGGCGCCTCCACTCCGCTCACTCACCACTCCCAGTCTCCAGCCCCCTTGCCTGTCCTGAGCTTCGGGTCCCTCTGTCCACCTGTCCACTGTCACCCCAAGCTTGCCTCTCCCCTGCATACCCTGTGGGCTTCGGCATCCACCCAGTCGCTGTCAGCAGAATATGGGTCTTGGCCTAAATGCCTCCCTCTCCCTCGGCCTGTGTGGGGTGAGTGACCGCTTCTTGGAGGCTTAACGTCGTGTCTCCCGCCCTCTCCCCACTTTATCCTGGTGCCCTGCCCTCGTGTGGCCGATGTCCTCACCTCCCATCTTCTTCCCTTCCCGTCCATTCTCCTCAGCTACCCGAATCACCTGTAGACTGTTTTTTAAGAGGATACCCTGGCTCCTCCCCGGAGACTAGATTCTGAATGTTGGGGGTTCAGGTGTCTCTGTGCTTTTTTGACTCCCCTGGATCCTGCTGGAGCCAGGCCCAAGAACCCAGGTATAAGAGTCACGCCCACCCCGGTGACACAGCACGGAAGGCCGTCCACAGCCCCGCGTGCCCACCCTCGACTCTCCTGCCACGTTCCTTCACCCGCAGCTTCTTAGCACTCCCTGACTGTCGGGGAGCTTTCTTGTGTTTCCTCCAAGCCTCTTCTTGTTAGATTTCTTTTCAGAAACTCCCCTGCCCTCCCCCCTCTCCTCCACCTCGCTGCTGCTCCTGTCTTTCAACACAGGAGGTGACTCTTCTCACCCCAAGCCATCGTCACACCTGCACCCTGGCACGCCCATCCTGTCTGTGTGAAGTGGCTCTGCGTGTCCGTCTGGAAGACCGTCCCTTCTGCTGGGCAGTGGGCTCCCTGGGAGCACCAGTTCCAGCTCTCTGTCCTTGCCCCAGGCCTGGCCTGACAGAGTGAATGTTGTTTTCTCAGTTGGGCCACCATCTGGCAAGGAGTATTTCCTTAGGGAAGGAAAGGGAGCAAAGGTTTTCCCAGGCCCGCTCTCCGAGCCGTCCTCGGGTCACGGCGCCTGTGCTCTGCCCTCCGCGTCCGCGCGGGTTGGCCTCCTCCTTGTCCTTTTCAACCTGGGGCAGTAGCTACACGATCTGCTGGCTGTTGCCAGGAGTGTTTCTGGAAGACTCGAGGTTGTACTTCTTCCCTTACATCAACAGGTTTGGAGGCGCATAGGGGTTGCTCTGCTGGGGCTGGAAAGGCTTGTGGTGCCCGTGTCCTAGTCTGGAGAAGGTCCCTTTAGAAGCCGCCCTGGGTGCATGGATTTCTCCTGGGAGAAGTGTGAGCGCTTCCCGGTGAGGTCAGTCCCGAGACGGGCACCGGCTGGCAGGAAGTGATGCTAGATTCTCCCAGTTGGTGTTCCCTTTGTCTGGGGGCTGCATTTATACTCACCCACAGCCTCTGCAGGGATCCCTCAGTTCCCACAAGAACCACCTACCTGCAGCATACTTTGTCCTGGCTTTACCAGAAGTACAGATAACGCATGAGTCCAAAGGACTCTTGTTTGAGAAAAGCCCCAACTCTGGGGAGGACTGGATGGCTTTGGGGCTTGGTCACAGCAGCAGCTGGTGGCAGGAAAGAAGGGAGAAAAAATTTTCTTTCCTTACTCAAATAAAATAATTTATCTACTGTTAGGTCCAGCTGGACAAACTCTAGATGTCACATGTCGGGCCACTGAGTTGCCACTTGTAAGTAACAGGACTTGGGAGCTGGTGCGGGGGACAGGTAGGGTCCTTGGAGAGAGCCTGTTGGAATGAGTGATTGAATTTATTTTACTGATTAGGAGATTCCTGTTGTCCGCGATGGACGAACATAGGTTCCTCCTTGCTTCCTAGAGTCCTTAAGGAGATGCTGGGCCAGGGGTGTTTTTTTCTAACACTTTATTTTGTAGAACAGTTTTAGGTTCATAACATTGAACAAAATTGAACAGAGGGTACAGATACTTCGCATATGCCCCCGCCCCACACACGCATAGCTTCCTCCATTATCAGCATCCCCTGTCCACAGTAGTACGTTCCTTACAATTGATGAGCCTGTATGGACGTATTATCATCCAGAGCCCGTAGTTTACAGTAAGGCTCACTCCTGGTGCTGTACACTGTGTGGGTTTGGACAGATGTGTGCCCACCGTTATATAATAGAATCATACAGAGTCATTTTGCTGCCCTGAAAATCCCCTGTGCTCCGCCTACCAGGTGGAGGTCAGTATCGGCTTGGTGTTTCCTGCTACGGAGCTGCTCAGTTGCGTCATGGATACCCAGATCCTTAGAATCTGTCTAGCTCACATTTTGTGAGGCAAGAGGCTGTCTTCTCATAGACCCCCACCTTCTCAGGAGATGTCGTGAGTCACTCTGTGTCTCTAACGGTCAAAGAATCTTTGGGCCCAGAAAGTTCCTCCAAACCTGTGGTTCTGTCCCAGGACTCGGAAATGATCCACTGAGGCTGGCTGGTGTAAACGTCTACAGCTGATGAGCTTTTTTCAGAATGTTAATTATGATACAGATACTGGTGTCATAACTGTGACTAGTGTAGATACGTAACATAAAAATTTGTGACAAAAAGAGATGAATGCTGGTTGTGATAACAGCTGGTATGTAGTGACTGGGCAGGACAGAGAATCTCGTTTTTCCCTCACGACAGTTCTGGAAAGTGGGGACTGTGTTTCTCCTGCAGCACAGGGAGGTCACGTGACTTGGGCAAGCTTACACAGCTAGCAAAGGGCGGGTCAGGATTTGAACCCACGTGTGTCTGATTCCAGAGCCAACGCCCTTTACCCCTGGCTGCCACTGTGCTGTGGTGAAGACGGCCTTTTACTTTAAGACTGAAGTTTTCCTCGTTTTTTCCCTCATTCAGAGTGACCACGTCAGGGGTGATGGAGAATATGAAGAAAGTCAAGAAGGTGACCAACGGCTCGGTGGAGCCGCAGGGTGAGTGGGAAGGCAGCGCGTGATGGAGGAGCTCCGAGGCGGCACTGTCAAAGGAAACGGTTTATTCGTAGTCCTGTTGGTCGGCGAGAGAGGTCGGCCCTCCCGACGGTGACACCGCAGAGCATGTGGCTGTGAGCAATTGCCACGGAAGCCTAACTTTTCACTCTTTTCTGGAAGCCGGATCTGTGGCTGGTGATAGGCAGCTAGAATTCTCCTTCAGGTGGGAGTGCTGGGTAGGGGGTGTAAGAGGAGGAGGGTAAAAGGAAGACTTTGTTTTTAATCTCTATTATTTTAAATTGGGAACTCTTCAGGTAGGTGCAGTTGTGACCCAGTGTGTAGCAGTGGAATGTTGGTGGATGGGGCATGGCGGGTGGTGGTGTGTCTGCAGCCGTTCAGGGCACGGGAAGGGGCTTTAGGAAACGAGCAGATGTCGAGTGGGGCACGGGGGCTCACAAAGAAGGGAGAGGTGAGCATCGCTGCATCTTGGGGACAAAAAACGAGTGAGATCAGGTTATTTTAGAAAGCAAAGTCAAAACCCAATTTAGTATTAAGAGAGTGCCCCAGGATTTCCGGCCCTGAATGTCGCCCCAGACCTTCATCCCGGATTCTGAAAGTGACCAGGAACGACAGTCGTCCGAGGGCTACGGTGTCAGAGTCAAGGCCCGGGTGGTGGCAAATGGCTCTCTTGACTGAAGTGTGTTCTGTGTTACCTAATGGATGGACGGAAGTGTGTTTTTAAGCTCGAAAAGCCGCCTCCTGTAGGATTTCCCTGAACATCTGGTCCCCCCGACGGCGCAGAGCAGCACCGTCTCTGGCGGCCCTCTCGTCCCTCTCTTCTCGCAGCTGCATCTATTTTGTGTGATCAGAATACGGGGAAACGGGAAGGACTTTTCCTTAAGGAGCAGCTGGGGGCAGAAAGGATCATGTCGAAGCAGATCCTTAAGGCACATCGTCATCATGACAGAGCTTTTCCTGTAGCCAGGTAGGACTTCTAAAGGGAGGAATGCAGCAGACCTTGTCCCTGTATTCCAAGAGTAAGTATGCAAAGAAGATGAGGGTGATTAGCAGGTTTACTCTGGGGTGTGGGGATGATGAGACCTTTCACAGAAGCTCAGTGAGGTTCCCTTCCAAACTTTCAGAGCTTGGAGAGGAGCACGGATACATTGCCTGAGTGAACAGTACTGCAGCTCGTAGCCAAGCCATCTGAGTATTGGGACAAGCTCAGAAGGTTCCCTGTGACAGAGGGCATAGCAGGGCTTTCCGCTCGTTTCCTACTAAGGCTTTGGCTGCCGGAGCCTGAGATGGGGACTGAAACACTGCATCAGGCAAGCTCCCTGGAGCGTGGGGTCCCGGCCGGGCGGGGTAGCTCCCAGTGCCCACGTGCGTCAGGAGCCCGAGCCCCCCCTGACCTCCTGGCCTGCCTCCTGGGTGCTGGATGGTGACTGTGGCTGGTGGTTATTCTCTTACCTCTGGCTTGGAAGGGTCGATCAGAAACCACAAGATTTAGGGGTGCCGCTCAGTATGCCCGGTTTGGGAACCTGAAGTGTCTTTACTCAGAAAACAGTTATTTTCCCTCTCCTGTACCATTGTCACTTCCTAAATGACCAGTGAGGAAGCAAGTGTCCTTTCTATGCGCTTCGATGAGCCCTCTGTGCTCTGCCCAGTGCCACCTCCACAGGGGCTCGATCCTGGCTGAGTGAGGAGGAAGACCAGCGTCTTCCAAGGCTGCTGCTGCCCACCTCTCCACAGATATTTTAGGGAAGGGTTCGTGTGTCTTCCCATCTTCAGGAGCGAGGAAATAGGCCCCAAGTATTCATCTAAGGGCCTTTTTTTTGTCTTTTAAGTAATCTGGGAGCTGTGTGACAGGAGAAGGAAGTGGCAGGGAGGACGGGAGTATTTTTCAGACTTTGTTTTCCTGACGTGAACACCATCCCAGTGATTAAGAAATGTGTCGCATACTGTGGCCAAAACTTCCTTTGGTGCTTCCCTCCGAGGGACGTGTTTGCTGTTTGTCCTGCAAGCAGATGTTCTCGACTAGGCCGTAGACCTCTTGGCAAGAACCAAAGGTTTGAGGAAACACACACACACACACACACACACACACACACAGACACGAAAGGGTCTCCACGGAGGTGTCCTCACTTCATGTGCTGGAAGCGGGGAAGCGAGTAAATGAAGATGAGGGTGTGCATGTGGGCTGGCACCGGCCCCTGCTCAGCCTTCCTGCTCTGAGGTCCCCGGGCCCCAGCGGTCACAGGAGGGCATGACCCAGAGGGCTGGGCTTCTCTGTGGTACCGGGTGGTCTTCAAATCCCACGCGGCACCTCTAGGCTCGCAGAATGGCTGAGAGGCTGCAGTTTTACAGTGCTGACCCTTCTGGAACTGGAAGGTACAGATGAGATAAGGTAGTGGATTAGAAATAAAGGCAGGCCGCAGGCTTCCTAGCAAATGGGTCGTCTGCCCACGTCCTATATTTTAACTGGCAGAAGATTTAAAGGCAGGCCGCTGATCAAGAGAAATCAAACCCCCAGCCCAAGATTGGGAAAATAGGTGGTAGTTCACGTTTTTACAAAACTATTTAAGCTCTTCATCCTGTTCTGCAAAAATTTGTTCTCTTTCTCTATGACTTGATGGCAGTAAGCAGCACTTAGCTCTACTCTTGAGTAAAGATGACTGATTGGGGTCTAAAGCCAAGGTGCTTCCCCAGCTGACAGCCCGCTTCCTGCAGCCTGATTTTCACAGTCCCCTTGGGCTCACGGTGATGCAGTGTTTGAATGGTTAAGCCCTCTCAGTATTTCAGGGATTGGGCAGAAAGGATCGGTGCACATCATAGAACGATCGGTGGTATTTATAGCTTCGCTTTGTGCTGCTCCCTGTTTCTGCCTACGCGAAATATACGTACTTCCTCTGAGAATCCTGCCGTGGACTGGAGGTGCCGCTGGCTGTGAAACTTTAGCAAGTAAAGGATCTGTTTTCCTTTGATAGAGTGTGTGTGTTTTGCTAGAAAATTACTTCTGGGACCACAAGAACAATCACTGATCTCTTAATCCTGGCTCTTAACAGTGGCCAAAGACTCCCATCAGCCTGTTTCTTGGTCCCGCAATACTTTAACGTTTTAGCAGCAGTGCCTCCGCTGAATACTCCTGCTGGCTCCTCTTGTAAAGAGAAGCTTGCGCTGGTGTAAAAGATGGTTTCTCAGATCATAGCCTGAGTCTGTTCAGTTTTCTTTCAAGAAACCACTTTAGAGTAAATTTTCCAGTTTTTTTTTCCCCTGGACATGTCCAGCCAGCCAAGGCGGCACCCAGTCTCTTCATAAGTCCACTCCACGGGGCTGCCTCGGCAAGGCGTCCACTCCCTCATTGTGATCTCACCACAGGATGCTCTCCTTCCCCCCCCCCCTTCCCCCCTTCCCCCTCCCCCCCCATCTCCTTCTCTTTCCTCGCCTTGGCCCTCGCCCATCAGTTCCACATGGGCTCAGTCTGGGAATACGGGCTGAAGCCTGTGGTGCATTGCAGCATTTTCTCCCAGCAGCTGTGTGAAGGATGTATTTTCCAAGCTAAGAATTTTATCCCAAGAGCACATATTACTGCTTTGGACCGTATATGATCTTCTGCCCCTGCACGGAGATGTATGTCTTATTTTAGTCTGTACCGACCAAGGAACAGTGTCAAAGATGCCAGTTTTAATTGTGAGTGGCTCTGGCCATCTCCGCCATCCTGGAGCATTTCCTTCGAGGGAGGCTTCTAGGACCTGAGACAGTCTGATGGGTTATTTGCCCTGCTCTGTACACCCCGTAGAGAGCAGTGGGACTGTTGGTGCTTCCTGCTGCTTGATCAGAGGACACGGGTCCTCGCCCCCTCCTCCTCCTGCTCTGCACTCCACACCTCACCCTTGCTTCCCTGACCCACGCCTGACCTTCAGCAGATTCCCAACATGCTGAGCCCAGGACGCCTGTGGCCTGCTGCTTTCTTTTCTCTTCAGAATTCCCCATGGAAGAAGTTAAGTTAGACTTTAACTTGATACCTCTTGGTGTATCAAAAACCATACCAGACGTTCTAGAAGATCTGCCCTTTACTCCAGTTTTCTCTAGGGTGTTTCTGGCAGGAGGTCGTACAAGAGCTCCACCTGAGTTGATGCTAATACTTGCCACTACCACCTGGAATGTAGTTACTGATTGGCAAGCCGGACATTCCCCCCAGGGCCCTTCTGTCGCCTGGCGATGCATCTGCCCTCTCTGCACGGCTTATGCTTGAAATATAATGTTTTTCAGTGGCTCGTTGCTAGGACATGGACACGCACATCCTGTGAGAGACTGTGTGCAGAAAGCACTCGGTGGGGCGGGGCGGGGAGGTGCAGGAGCAAGGATTTGGTTGTGTCGTGTCAAGGACCTTTGGGACCTACTGGCAGGAAGTCTGCAGGCGGGCCGTTTGGGAAGGAGTGCGGATAAAGTCAGTAAAGGTCAAGGTGAGACAGAAGAGCTAGCTCGCCCCCAGACAGCAAGCTTATCTTGGGGCGGGGTTTGAGGCTTTGGGGTGGGCAGCCAAACCAGTCAGGGGGCCAGGCGGTCAGCCTTCTTAGCGTTTAAGACACTTATTACAAAAGGATCCAAAAACCCTGTCCACACAAGGGGGTTTCTTGATGCCTTAAGCAGCTTTTCCAGATGATAAATTGGATTTGCCTAGTCATGTGACCTCAGAAGAGCTCAGACACATCCAACCCAGAAATAAGTTTCATTTGGGGGAGAAAATGTCTGTAAATATTCTTTGCTTTCCAGGTTAGATTGGGATGCAGCAGGAGTTTTCAGTACTTTTTCTTTAAACACTGATGGTCACTGAAGAGTGTTTATGTGAACATCTGCCGGGTGGAGGTTCCGATCCGGGTGATGTAGGGGACGGGTTCTCCTGCTGTGATGCAAACATGTAAAATAAAGATTCTGTGACAGGAACGTATGTTTGTAATCCGAGGGAGTTGCCAACTCCTGCCTGCTGTCTCTCCACCCCCCTCCCCCCTTATAATTCTTTCCTTTGTGATTTTTGTTCATTAAATTAGTTAATTGCCTCCCACTCGCTCCCACTGGCAAGAGTGACACCTACTAGAGAAGCTCCCTGTGTCTCAGCTGCCATTGAAACTCAGACGTGACTTCAACTCCAGAGGCTTTGTTTTGGAACAAACTGAAGATCAGTTGTAGTTGACTGGTGTCCTGCCTCCACTGGGGACAGGGGTTGCTCTCTGAGTCAGGGCCTGGGCACTGCTGCCATTTGAGGGGAGATGACGGCGGAGGCTTGGGGTAAAGCCCACCCTGCGACAGGCTCGGGTTCACCCTCTTATGATGTTGGTCATCAGATAACCCTGCTGGTGTTCCCACATCAGAATCAGAGAAATCCAAGATTTCAGACTCAAAGCATTTTTGGAAGTCATCCAATCCCAAGCCCCTTATTTTACTAGGAATGTTTTAAATTGAGGTGTAACTCACATACAGTAAAATGTACCCTTTAAGCCTATAGTTGGATGAGTTTTGACAAGTGTATATACCGTTCTGTAGCCTCTGCCATAAGTGAGATGGAACATTTCCATCACCCCATAAAGTCCCCTGTGCCCCTTCTCAGTCAAAACCACCCCCTGTCCAGAACTACCACAGCCGCTGCTCTGATTTCTACGCTGTAGGTTAGTTTATTCTAGAACTTCACGGGAGTGGAATCACACTTCCTTGTATGGCTTCTTCCACTCAGGAGACTGTCTGTGATTTGTCCATCCAAAGCCCTGGCTTTAAAGCTGCAAAAAATGGGGGCGTAGAGAGGGTTGTGCCCCACCCTCCCCCTCCCCCAGCCAGTAAGTATCGGAGCTGAGGTGAGAACCCAGGTCTCCTGACTCCAGCCTTGGTGTGGTGATGAGGATTAAGTTAGGGGCCTGGCCTGGAGCTCTTCGGGTACTGTTGCTGCGTTTATAGTAATGTTAGAATGATCCTCAGTTCACAGCATCCCAGAAGCTCGGAATGAAGGGCCTCAGAGTCCATGTCGTTTCCCCTGGGCTTTCCAGTTACCGGCCATGCCTCACCCGCAGCTCCTTCCTGCCTCTGCAGAGGCCTTGGGTTACCCAGGGTGTCCATGGAGAGAAGCCTCAGGAGCGGGGACAGGGCATTCCAAGAGTAGAGCCCAGGAATCGGGTGAGACTCTCAAGGGTGAGAGACGCTGAGGCCACCCAGGAAGGGGACAGCTGAGGAAGGTGTGGGAAGGACCTGGGGACCGTCTAATCCAGTACTTCACAAACTGGAGCAAGCATCAGAGTCCCCGGAGGGCCCAGGGCTTCTGATTCAGTAGGTCTCTTGCGGGGCCTGAGACGTTGCGTTGCTAACAAGCTCCCAGGTGATGCCACCTCGGCTGGTCCCAGGTCACACCTTGAGAACCGCTGGTGTAACCCAGCTCCCTTCTTGAGACTTGCCCCAGTCATTCAGGGGGTGCGTCGAGCACCCACCCGTGCAGACTCCTGCTGGTCACACAGCAGCGAGACGGCGTCCTGACTCCGGGCCTGCCTGGCAGGGTTGCAATGGTAATCCGGTGAGGGGTGCTAGCGGGCCAGCTGAGCTGCTCCCCTCCATCAGCCTTGGCTTCCTCCTCCCCCGTTAGAAATGCAGCCGTCCGGGCTGACAACCTGTGAACTTCGCGGGCCGAGGACCCTGCACCTCCAGTGCCGCTCAGGGTCAGGAAGGCCTGTGCCAGTGGGTCCGACCACAGCTCACTCGCCTTCTGGTTTCTCTAATGAGCCGGAAGAGCAGACCAAGTGGGCAGCAGACAGCTGACCCAGATCTACCTGCTGAGAGCGGCCGACCGCCCTTGGGACCCTGTGGAGTCCTCCCGACGCCCACGTGGGCTCCTTCCCTGTGGCAGCCGCCTTCGGGCGCCCTGCCCTTCCCCAGGGATCTGTCAGGTCGGCAGGTTGAGAGCTGCGCGGTCCCTCAGGCTACTCGACAGTGAGGCTGGTAAGTGGGGTGAGAAAGTGCTGGACTTTCTTCCCACAGATCTGCGCCCGAGCTGCGTGCACAACAGGCGTTTCCGAGCATCCATCCAGCCCTAGAGCTGGCCTGGCCCCCACCACGTGGGGAGAAGCTGCCTCAGCGGTTTGGGGGCTGGATTTTAGGGGGTCATTGTGCCCCTTGCAGGAGCTGCACCCTGCACTGCTCCTTCCCAGTTTGCCAGGGTTGCTGACTTTCATAAAAAACAAGGAATCTGCTCATGGAAACACCTGCAGAACCAACCGAGCTTAAGTCTTGTTTATGCGCTTAGCACGTGTCTCATTCAGGTCCCGGGCTCTAGGCTGCAAGCCTCACCGAGGGCTGAAAGCACTCCTCAACGCACTAGTATTTGCAGGACCACAGCGTAAAATGATGCGAGCCTGGTTTCCACCGCATGATGGGAGAGCAATAAGGGGGGTGCGTGGGGGAGGGTTGAGCGCATGACTGCTGCCCCCGCTTCCTCTCCTCCTTCCTCCCACCCTTTCCATTTTAACTGGCCCCTTCGCATCAGCAGTACTGCTTGGTCAAGTTTTCTTCCCATTAAAAAAACAAATTTCCCTAGGCCAAGCTGCAGCCCCCGCCCCCTACTTACAGGGCGAACTTCTCTGGTCTGCCTCTTTCCCCTCCAGCACCCGCAACTCACTGCGGTCTGGGTTCCACCGGCCAAAGTCTCCTGCAGCCTCTGGGGCTTGGTTATTACCTGTCGTGACTGTAGCAGCCTGTGGCACGGTGGGACCCCTCCCCTTTCACCCTTGGCCACATCACCTTGCACCCACTGCCTCCCTCCTCGGAATTCCACGCCAGCCAGGTTAGACTTCCGGTAGTTTTCCTTCTCTCTCCAGCTGCTTGGCCACAGTCGGCTTCCTGCGCGCAGCCCTTCGGTGTTGGGCTCCTCGGCACTGCCCCAGCTCTCTTCTGCTCTCTGACACCCAGGATCGTATTCCCAGCCTAGAACTGTCCTGAGCTACTTACG